TCGAAGTATTGCTTCACGAGGTCTTCTAGATTCTCGTCTGGATGCTCTGCGATGTGTGACACGAAATCGATGTTCCGTCCGAAGCTTCGTGTCTGGCTTCCGTGGAGTACCCAACCTAGTGGCGTGAGAGATGCCACTGGGTGGTTCTTGTCTCCTCTTCTTACTTATGATGGCAGCAGAGGATACCAGTTATCTTGACCGATCAGCACTCTTGGCTTTGCGTTTGCATATGTGAGATGTCCTTGAATATCAGAGAGGTGTTGACACTCTTCCACTAGTTCCTGCGGAACCCGTTGAGATGAGACTTGCAGGTTCTTCACTGTGCGTGCTTGTATTTGCTCTTCATGATCGTTGAGCCCCTTCAGTTTGATGGTGACTCTCCTTGATGCTGACTCCGATAATTTCTTGTCGTTGTTGGTTTCTATCATCAGTTACTATGCTATCGTCGACGAGCGTGACTTTTGAGCCGTCGTCCATCAACGCGAAAGTGTTGACAGCTCCTTTTGGTCCTTTGAACTGGATCGGTAGGATTTTTAATACGATTGCTTCTTGACGATCCAAGTTGAGTTGTTGACCTCTGTCGCCCCTTGATTTTCTTTTGCTTCTGTATCTTCCGACTTCTTTTCGTAGTGCAGCATCTTGTGGTGGGAGTACTTGCAGCTGTTGACATTACATGACTTGGGTCGGCAGTGGTGTGTCTTGTTCCTATAGCGAAGACACCTGAAGCAGAGGCGCTTGGACATGGCCATGTCCCATCTTGCATTTGCATCTAACTTCTTGAATTGTTCACATTCTGTGGCGTTGGTGTGCCCCGTATCTTCACATACGACGCACCTTGGTATGTATGTCTTCTCAGTCACGTTGTTGATCCTTTGAGTCTTCCTGCGGCTGTAGGAGGCGGTGTCATCTGTTCGGGCAGCGCATAGGGTCCACACAATTCTGTTTCCCTTTAGAAGAACTTGATGAGGCAAGGGTCTTCACGTGGCTGCATGGTAACTTCTTGAATTGTTCACATTCTGTGGCGTTGGTGTGCCCCGTATCTTCACATACGACGCACCTTGGTATGTATGTCTTCTCAGTCACGTTGTTGATCCTTTGAGTCTTCCTGCGGCTGTAGGAGGCGGTGTCATCTGTTCGGGCAGCGCATAGGGTCCACACAATTCTGTTTCCCTTTAGAAGAACTTGATGAGGCAAGGGTCTTCACGTGGCTGCATGGCTGAGAAGTCGTAGTATCTATAACGCAGAGTTGGCGTCAGTTTGTTCACTATTGTCTTCGCGAGTTCAGGATTGTACATGTAGTTAAAACAAACCAAAGTCTTCAGTGTCGCCACTACGTTGGAGACCTTGGTAGCGAATATGTATATGTCTCTTGGTGACTCAGTAAGGCGCAGCAGACCTCTAAGCGTCTCCATCTCCAGCATGGCTATTGACTCTGGTCTTCCAAATCTTGACTTCAAAGTCTTCATTACTTCAGCCGAGTGTGCGTTGGTCATAAGTAGGCCTTCAACTACTTCCTTCGCCTTCCCTTTCAAGTTTCTTCTGAGTATTTTCAACTGCGCTGAATGTCGCTTCTGTCTCGTAGTAGGCGGCCCGATAGGGTAGCCATTCCTGATGAGACCCACTGAAGAATGGTAACTCGACGAACTTAGTTCGTTGGGCGGCGCTGACAGCCCGAGTGATGGCTTCAGCCAGGAGGGCTACGTCAGTTTGACCTCCCGCCGGCGACTGATGTGTTTCTTCATGCTTTCCCTGCCTTGGTTCTTCTGCGTGGGCGGTCGTTGGTTCTTCTATGGCATGGTGAGGTTCATTGGTGATTGCTAACACCGGACGATTCACTAGATTCTCCAACCAATCGTCCACTCTTGCATTGACTTCTGATCTCAAGTAGAGGGAGGCGTCATCTTCTTCTTGCTCCTCTTCTGAGTCTTCCCTTTCCAAGGCAGCAAGGCGTGCTGCGGCCGGAGGCGTGGAACAGAAGTGCGGTGGTCTTGTTCTTCAAGAAAGGTGACAACGCTCTCTTGAAGAACTACAGTCCGATTTCCCTTCTGAGCCGCGTCTACGTGCTGTTTTCGAGAGTCATTACGAATCGTCTCGCGCGCAGACTTGACGACTTCCAGCCTCCCGAACAAGCCCGTTTCCGAAAGAGCTTTAGCACCTTAGACCACATACACACCCTTCGGCAAGTTGTACAGAAGTCCGAGGAGTACGATTTGCCACTATGCCTGGCGTATGTGGACTATGAGAAAGCCTTTGATTCCGTCGAAATTTGGACGGTGCTGCAGTCCCTTCAGCGGTGCCAAGTTGACTGTCGGTATATCGAAGTGCTGAAGTGCTTGTACAGTAGGGCTACGATGGCTATCCGAGTACAGAACCAGAGTACGAAACCTATCCAATTGCAAAGAGGTGTAAGACATGGTGACGTTATATCCCCGAAACTCTTCACCGCTGCATTGGAAGACGTTTTCAAGCTTCTGGACTGGAAAGGATACGGTATTAACATCAATGGCGAGTACATCACTCACCTTCGATTTGCCGACGATATAGTCCTTATGGCAGAATCGCTGGAGGAACTAAGCACCATGCTCAATAACCTCAATAGTGTCTCCCAGCGGATAGGTCTTAAGATGAACATGGACAAAACAAAGATCATGTTTAATATCCATGTCACACCTATGCCGGTAGTTGTTGGGAGTACTAAGCTCGAAGTTGTTGACGAGTATGTTAACCTGGGACAAATAGTCCGACTAGGTAAGTCCAACTTCGACCGAGAGGTCAATCGACGGATTCAACTCGGCTGGGCAGCGTTCGCGAAACTACGACACATCTTCTTGTCAGACATACCTCAAAACCTTAAAACGAAATTGTACAATCAGTGCGTATTGCCTGTGATGACTTACGGATCTGAGACGTGGTCCTTCACTGCTGGCCGTATGAGGAAGCTCAAGGTCGCTCAGCGAGCTATGGAGAGGGCTATTCTCAGGTTTTCTCTGCGTGATTAACTTAGAAATGATGATATCTGCAGTAGAACTAGAGTAACCGACATAGCCCAACGGATTAGTAAGCTGAAGTGGCAATGGGCCGGCCATATAGCTCGAAGAACCGACAACGGATGGGGAAGAAAGGTTCGCGAGTGGCAGCTTCGTACCGGTAGGCGAAGTGTAGGGCGACCCCCCACGAGATGGAGTGACGACCTGGTAAGACATGCAGGAAGTCTATGGATGCAGGTGGCTCAGAACCGTGCTTTGTGGCATTCCTTGGGGGAGGCCTATGTTCAGCAGTGGACTTACGAAAGGCTGTAATGATGATGATGATGTCATCAAAATAGAAAATTAATATTTTTCCCGTGGAGGATCTCTGTATAATGATATAGACAAATTTGTCATCTCAGTAAGCAATGATAGTTCTAGTGATGAACACTCAGAAATGGACCAATTTAAGTAAACAAGAGCTTCAGGCAACATTTCGGAAGTTGAATACCTCGAATCAGATTATTTGTACTCAGATTAATAATCAAAATATAATAACTATGTATCAACTATGTACAAACAAATTTTGTTTTATTTTTGCACCTTGAGTGTCTGCTGTCTTGTCAAGGCTGGTCTTGTGTAAAACCTGCTTTCCTTAATTACTTGAAGGATACACAGTCAAATTATCATAATTATTAAGTATTTGAATTTGAGCCGTGGTAGCTCAGATGGTTAGCGCTCGCTGCAAGCTTCACAGTACTCGAGCAACCCGGGTTCGATCCCCGGCGGCACCAATGAAATTGTTAATTGCAATTTTAATTGCTGATTTACCACGTGCTCGGCGGTGAAGGAAAACATCGTGAGGAAACCTGCATGTCTAAGAAATAAGAAAAAAAATATTTCGAAGACATGTGAAGTTCGCCAACACGCATTCGGGCAGCACAGTGGACATTTCCTTGCCCTAAAACCCTCTCAGAAATGAGAGGAGGCCTGTGCCCAGCAGTGGGATGTAAATAGACTGCAACTTTTATGTGAATTTAGCTAATTACTGTTGCTAGGATTTACATGGGTCAAGGGTTACGCATACCAATAAAATCATGTACTTGAAAAAATGTGACAGTAAATGAACCATAATAATAAATCAATTTATAAAATAAAAAAGTATCAAAACTTTTCGGTTGAAATCTTTAAGGATGCTGTATAAGAGATAGTGGCGCCCTCCTTTTTTTTTCATGAGTTGCTTGACAGACTGTAAATGTAGAGATGGCTTAAAAGATAAGCATCCAAACCAAAGGGCGTAATTTATTCTAATATATTATCTGTACTTTTGGCGGGAACTTGAACGTCGGCAGATTATTGCCCCTGTTTTAGTTTATTTTATGGTTTGAAGTGGGTTTTGATACATTAAAGTAATGTAATTTTGTGTATTAAGTGTTGCGTATGTGAAATATTATTTTAAACGACTAAAAAAGTGATCCTAGTTTGATATAAACCTAAAGTTTATATCAATAATATTGTTATCGACTAAGTCGATAATATTGTTATCGACTAAGTCGATAATATTGTTATCGACTATCCGTTGTATAAAGCTGTCGTCAAAATGTTCCAAGAACTTTTCAATGTGACGCACTGGTGTATTATAAAGGAGTTTTTTAAAATCCGAATGAAATGAAGATATGGCTTAAAGGTCAAGCATCCAAGCCATAATCTTAAAAAATAAAAAGTATATTATATTTATGTGTCAACATTGCCGAATTGTCAACATTGCTGAATTGCCGAGCACTAACCCGCCAAAATTATTTTTCGCTAAAAATATATTAACTAAAGTTTTGTGTTTCTAGTTAGTTTGTACTAAACAATAAACTACATACCGTTTAACTAGAGACTTATTCGACGCAATAATTTGTAATATTAAATAAGGCAAGTAGCAAAGAACATATTTAACACATATTTCTAACGTATAAAGCCTTACAATTTTAAATTTGTTTTAGCATTTTGGTAGCAATCCCTATTATACTTGAAGAGAATTCTGTCATGGATAAGAAGAGACAATTTAAAGGCCCACCACCAAAAAAGTTTAAATCACAAGATGACGACGGAGACGATGAAACGCCTTGTAGTTTTGAGGATACTCTCGCAGGAATGGAGACAGAGTTTGATTCCGCGGAAATATTTGGTGAAGGTCCAGAAAATCAGTCTACGAACATAAAATGGTCTAGACCCTCCCCACCCCCACTGGATCCAAATAAAGACTCACTTATTTTTCAACAATTAGATATTGATCATTACAATGGGCAACCACTACCTGGTATGCCAGGATCTCAATTAGCTCCAGTGCCAATCATGAGAATGTATGGTGTTACGATGGATGGAAACTCTGTTTGTTGTCATGTTCATGGTTTTACACCATATTTCTATGTAACAGTTCCAACAAATTTTACAGACAATATGTGTATGGAGATGAAAACAAGTCTTAATAAAGTTATCTTAGAAGATTTACGTTCTAATAAAAATAATATTCAAGAAACTGTTTTAGAAGTATGTTTAGTAAAAGCTCGTTCAATTATGTACTACAAAGGTGACCATGATATAAAATTTGCAAGAGTATCCGTAGCATTACCTAGATTAATAGCTGCTGCAAAACGTCTTATTGAAAAGCAACCTACATTATTTGGATTAATGGACCCTTCATTCTATGAAACAAATATAGATTTTGATATAAGATTTATGGTAGATACTTACGTAGTTGGTTGTAGTTGGATTGAGCTACCAATTGGGAAATGGTCATTAAGATCAAAAAATACACATGTTAAACCTGAGTCAAGGTGCCAAATTGAAGTAGATGTTGCTTGGAATGTCTTTGTTTCACACCAACCTGAAGGCGAATGGTCAAAAGTTGCACCTTTTAGGATATTAAGTTTTGATATAGAATGTGCTGGTAGAAAGGGTATTTTCCCTGAACCTAATCATGATCCTGTAATTCAAATTGCTTCCATGGTAATCAGACAAGGTGAAACGGAACCATATCTTAGAAATGTATTTACCTTAAACACATGTGCTCCTATTGTAGGTTCTCAAGTACTCAGTTTTCAGTCAGAATCAGAAATGCTTGCCAAATGGTCAGATTTCTTTCGAGAACTAGATCCTGATATAATTACAGGATACAACATTAGTAATTTTGATTGGCCATATCTTATCAACAGAGCAAAACATTTGAAGGTTGACAAATTTGATTTTTTGGGCCGAATAAGAAATATAAGGTCAGTTATTAAAGATTCAGTTTTACAATCTAAACAAATGGGTCGTAGAGAAAATAAAAGCATTAACTTTGAAGGTAGGGTTCCTTTTGATCTATTGCTTGTGCTTGTTAGAGATTACAAACTAAGATCATATACTTTAAATGCTGTTAGTTATCATTTTCTCCAAGAACAAAAAGAAGATGTGCATCATAGCATCATAACTGACTTACAGAATGAAAATGAGCAAACAAGAAGAAGGTTAGCAATGTATTGTTTGAAGGATGCATATTTACCACTAAAACTTTTAAACAAACTGATGTGTATTGTAAATTACATGGAAATGGCAAGAGTAACTGGTGTTCCTTTATTATGTCTTTTGACACGAGGTCAGCAAATTAAAGTAGTAAGTCAACTTTTACGTAAAGCTAAAGAAGCAGGGTATTTAATGCCAGCCTACCAAGGTCAGGGTTCAGATGATCAGTTTGAAGGAGCAACAGTAATTGAACCCAAAAAAGGATACTACGCTGATCCTATATCAACTTTAGACTTTGCTTCTTTGTATCCAAGCATTATGATGGCTCACAACTTGTGCTATACAACATTATTACCTCCAAATATGCAAAAAGAACTAAATTTAATTTCAGATGATATAACTGTTACACCTGCAAAAAATATGTTTGTTAAAGCAAATATTAGAAAAGGCCTATTGCCAGAAATTTTGGAGTCATTATTAGCTGCTAGAAAAAAAGCTAAAGCAGACTTAAAAGAAGAAAAAGACCCTTTCAAAAGATCTGTTTTAGATGGCCGACAATTGGCATTAAAAATAAGTGCTAATTCGGTATATGGATTTACAGGTGCACAAGTAGGTAAACTACCTTGTTTAGAAATATCAGGTAGTGTAACAGCTTATGGTAGAACTATGATTGAATTTACAAAGTCTGAAGTGGAAAAGAAATATACAAAAATTAATGGCTACAAAGAAGATGCTGTTGTCATATATGGAGATACGGATTCAGTTATGGTTAAATTTGGTGTTAAAACATTAGAAGAGAGTATGGAGTTAGGCAGGGAGGCTGCTGAATTCGTAACTTCTAAATTTGTGAAACCTATAAAGCTAGAATTTGAAAAAGTGTATTATCCATATCTGCTTATTAATAAAAAAAGATATGCAGGACTTTACTTTACTCGGCCAGATAAATATGATAAAATGGATTGCAAAGGTATTGAGACAGTCCGACGAGATAACTGTCCACTTGTTTCTAACATGATGAGTACTTGTCTTCAAAAGTTACTGATAGATAGAGATCCAGAAGGTGCAGTTAATTATGCAAAGCAAATCATTTCTGATTTGCTCTGTAATCGTATAGATATTTCTCAGCTAGTTATCACAAAGGAATTGACTAAAAGTGATTATGCAGCTAAACAGGCTCATGTTGAGTTGGCAGCTAAAATGAAAAAACGAGATGCAGGTACAGCACCAAAACTTGGTGATAGAGTACCTTACGTTTTATGTTGTGCTGCTAAAAATACACCTGCATACATGAAAGCTGAAGACCCAATATATGTTTTGGAAAATAGTATACCTATTGATTTTAATTATTATTTAGAAAACCAATTGTCCAAACCGCTATTGAGAATTTTTGAACCAATTCTAGGAGATAAAGCAGAATCACTTTTATTAAAAGGGGAACATACTATGACTAAAGCGATGGTTACCTCAAAAGTAGGTGCCTTAGCAGCTTTTACCAAGAAAAAAGAAAAATGTATAGGTTGCAAAACTATAATGCCTAATGACACTAAAAACGCATTGTGTAACCACTGTTTGAATAAAGAAGGACAGCTATACATAACAGAAATATTTAAACAAAGGCAACTACAAGAAAAGTTTTCAAGACTTTGGACTGAGTGTCAAAGATGCCAGGGAAGTTTACATGAGGAAGTTTTGTGTACAAATAGAGATTGTACAATTTTTTATATGAGGAAAAAAGTAGGAATGGAGTTGGATACTCAAGAGAAGACTGTTCTAAGATTTGGTGAACCAGTTTGGTAATTTTATCTAAATATTAGAAATGTTGCAAAAATAATCACTACTTTCAATGAGTATGTAAATTAAAATAAAGTTTACCAGTGGAACCATAAATAGGTAGTGCATTTTATAAATTTCACTGATTAATTATGTTCTCTATATTAAATAAAACCAAATGATCATTTTACATAAAAATAAAAATAAAAATCCTTTTTTTTATTTAGTAGGCATATCAAAATATATTAATTTTATTTCATACTTAATTTAACATGTTTACTACACAATATGTAAGTAGACTAATAGACATGGTTTAATATAGAATTGAACAAATTAATAACATTACCTACTAATATATACATAAAAAAATTAATAAATATTATATACTTTATGGTAATCACCAATGTCTTCTATGTACCTATACTAGTAGACAGGCTTAGCCGCCTCAATACATTGCGGCACCAAGTTGTGGCCAATTCTCCATAACTCCTTTAGGTGAGGAGACTAATTCTTTATTTTGTAATGCGCAAACTTTGTTTTCGAAAATTTAAAACTGATTTTCTTTTAGAGACTAAGAAACATAGATGTGCACTTTGTTTGTTTTGAAGTTTATTTCAGACAAGAATGTAAATATATTTCGTTTCGAAAATTGTAACTGCCGTAAATGAAAATACAATTGCAATCATAATTTATCCATCTCGCTATCCACCCGCGCTCACGCAATCCACAGCTGTCACACAATTTTCGTTCCGAATTGCTGGTCTAATGTGTAGTATACATAGAAGTCTTTGGTAAACACTAATACTGATGGTATGGATATTGCTTTACACGGTAATTTCTTTCCGTGCAACAAACAGGGAATGTTTTATACTCTAGCAACCCGCCCCGCCGTTGTAGGCGTTTCGGTAAACGCAGTATAGGTCGTAATCTGGCTAGATGGAGTGACGATCTGCGCAAGGCGGCTGGTAGCAACTGGATGAGTGAAGCCGAAGATCGGGCTAAGGGGTGCGCCTTGGGAGAGGCCTAAGTCCAGAAGTGGCCAGCCGTAGGCTGATGAAGATGATGATGTCCCTACTGGCGATGGTGTAGATTTAAGATAATCATCAAAGACCATTTATATTACTAATTTTTCGATTTCTCAAGAAAACCCAGTTTCAGATAAAATATAACCTAGAACACTACTGGCATTGCTCTCTATCTGTTCAGACAAAAAAATAGTTATTCAGATCCTAATGGCATGTAAAATGCAAATAACCTCCCTCAATTCAATAGAAGGCAATTATTTCATGTTACAGAATTTTATTTGCTTTTAAGTACGTTGATGGTACGTTGATGTACCGTGTAGTGGCGGTCAAGAATATCCACTACCCCAATTATATTCCCGTGGGTGTCGTAAAAGGCGACAAAGGGAAACAGGCAGGAGATGGGCAGCAGCATCTTCCTGATAATAGCCAAAATTACAATTAAAAAAAACTGCGTTTGCCAACCCGCTCCCCAAGCATGGCAACTATGGCAAATACCCCCCTATGAAGAGAGTAACAAGGAGACGGCCCCCAGTCCCCGGCGGCCCCGCTATTCCTGGCTACGGTGGCGACCATGGTAACGGCGGGGCAGGGGGTGCTAAGAATCTCCGGTGGAGGTTCGGTTGCCACCTTAGGCGACCCGACCTGGCAACGTACAACGCACGCACCCTGAGGACTGACGAGAAGATCCTGGAGCTGGAAGAAGAGATAGACAAGTTACGCTGGCATATTATAGGATTATCCGAAGTCCGAAGAGAGGGAGAGGACACGGTAATCCTCGAATCCGGCAACTTGCTCTATCACCGGGAGGGCGACCATCTGTCCCAAGGAGGTGTCGGATTTATCGTCCACAAGTCTCTCGTTAACAACGTTGTAAAAATTGAGTGTGTCGACGAGGGTTGCGTACTTTATACTCAGAATCAGCAAACGGTATCGCTGAAGGTCATACAGGTTTACGCACCAACCTCGGCACATCCCGATGAGGAGGTGGCGGAAATGTATGAGGATATCTCTAGAGCCATGCATTCCTCCAAAACCCAATATACGGTGTTAATGGGAGACTTCAATGCAAAACTAGGCACAAGAGAGAACGGTGAGCGGAAAGTAGGGAAATTTGGAATAGGGCAACGGAACCCAAGGGGTCAGCAGCTGGCCGACTTCATGGAGAAAGAGGGACTCTTTATGATGAACTCTTTCTTCCAGAAGCGGCCCTACAGGAAGTGGACCTGGTCGAGCCCCGACGGTTCGACAAAAAATGAGATTGACTTCATTATGACGACCAGACGACAACTGTTCAGTGATATCTCCGTGATCGCGAGGGTGAAAACTGGTAGCGATCAGCGAATGGTTAGAGGCACACTGAACCTAAACGTTAAGTTGGAGAGGTCTCGTCTAATGAAGTCAACGCTCCGTCCCCCTCGTGCTCTGTTCCAAAGTCCTGAAACCTTTCAGTTCGAGTTACAAAACCGTTTTCAGTGCCTAGAAGACTGCAATGAAGTGGACGATATGAATGACAAGCTCGTGGATACTGTCCATGCGGTCGGAGCTAAGTTCTGCAAGACCCGCCGCAGAACACAAAAACTCTCCGATCACACTCTTAATCTCATGGCTGTTAGACGGGAGATGAAGCTACATTCTTCAACAGATTTGACAGCATAGCAACTGAACAGAGATCGGCGGGACTTACGCAACTTCAATACAGCTTATATTGAAGAAGCGATTGAGCGGAACCAAGGCTCCAAAGTCTGCCAGAAAGAGCAAACTGTCAAAGCTGAAGACCGAGTGTGGCAGCATCGTTTCCGGGGGCACCTGAGATTATGAGTGAGATTGAGAGGTTCTATGGACTGCTGTACACGTCATCGTTGGAGCCACACGCAAGTGTGAGTAACGATCCAAGAGCGAGTCTTATCCGACACTTTATCCGAAGATATCCCGGACGTCAGTCTGAGCGAGATTAGAATGGCTCTGCAGCATCTTAAAAACGGCAAGGTCCCCAGGCGAGGATGGAATTACAGCGGAGCTTCTGAAAGCGGATGGAAAACCAGTACTGGATGTCCTTCAGAGGCTCTTTAATTCCGTCCTCAAGTGCGGTGGTCTTGTTCTTCAAGAAAGGTGACAATGCTCTCTTGAAGAACTACAGACCAGTTTCCCTTCTGAACCGCGTCTACGTGCTATTTTCGAGTCATTACGAATCGTCTCGCACGCAGACTTGACGACTTCCAGCCTCCCGAACAAGCCGGTTTCCGAAAGGGCTTTAGCACCTTAGACCACATACATACCCTTCGGCAAGTTGTACAGAAGTCCGAGGAGTACAATTTGCCACTATGCCTGGCGTATGTGGACTATGAGAAAGCCTTTGATTCCGTCGAAATTTGGGCGGTACTGCAGTCCCTTCAGCGGTGCCAATTTGACTGTCGGTATATCGAAGTGTTTAAGTGCTTGTAAAGTAGGGCTACGATGACTATCCGAGTACAGAACCAGAGTACGATACGAAGGCCTGTGTTCAGCAACAGATTTATGAAGGGCTGTAATAATGACGAATTCAGTCATATTCGAAAATCGATAGTCGAAAACAGTAATATTCTCCATGAATTTTTGCTAACTTCATTAGCATCTAAATATAAAATGGTAGGATATTTTCATATCAACAAAGGAAGTATGTATTTAATGTGCCTAAACTTAATTTGTGACCGCCAATACGGTTTCTGGCCGGGTCGCTCAGGTGGTGATCTTTTACCTGACAGAACGGAGTCAGTAGACTCTAATTGAATGCCTTGGCCATTACTTTGGTCATAGCGAAGGCCTTCGATCGGGTTTGGCACAAAGCGCTTCTTTCGAAGCTTGCTTCCTATGGGCTTCCCGAAAAATAGTGCAATTGGATTTGTATCACTAGTTTTCTTTAGATCGGAGCATCAAGGTCCATAGTAAACGGTTCATCCGACTACAAGTCAATTAATGGAGGTGTTCCACAAGACTGCGCTGTTACACTGTTTCTCCTACATATGAATTATATGTTGCAAACCAGTAACAATCATTGCTATGCGGACGACAGCACTGACGATACTTTTTACACCGGCCATGCCAATATTTTTCTAGTAGCCGTGGCTTGTTCACCCGCGGTGAACAAAGAGGGACCCCTTGGCTGGCCCATGGTGTAAAGCCGGCTTTAGGTGGCACTCCGAGTGGGCTTGGCGAGCCCACTTCGGATCGATGTCGGTGTGCTGCGACGAGAGGGGTGCTTTCTCCCCCTACCGCTGCAGCCGAGGTGGAGTCGCGGGGGAAGAGGAGTGTTGGTATGGCGAGGCGCCGCTCTCCCTATCCTCCGCGGCTGAAACTTGATTGGCGGGGGAGACAAAGCGGGTGCCAACGACCGCTCAATTTTTCTGGCCCCATAGCCTCCGCGTTTCGGACTCGGGGGGCGTTACGCAGGTGGAGTTGGAGGCCATGGAGGAAGGCGTGTCTTGTATTCCTGATGCGCCTGCGCCTGCCTGAGAAGGGGAATGGGGAGGAGAAATCCTCCCCCGAGAAGGGGCGGCCAGCGCTGGTGGGACCGCGGATGTGTGCGAAAGCGTTGAAGGTGGAACACCATGAGGTTTTAGTAGGTGCGAGTCCGACATAACCCGACCTTGCCTCCGCGAGGGGGGTATGCATAGGCATTTCACCATGTAAAAAAAGGGCTGTCAGAACTCTAAATCAAGCGCTTAACATCAACCAGCAACCCTCCTCGTAGTAGCTTCCTCACTATCTACACAGGTGAAGGTGGTTATCCTGAGTGATGGAACCTACGAATTGTTAAGTCAAAAGTAAATACAGAAGAAGGCATCAAAGGATCCAAATAAACATCAACACAATAAATATTTAATGTGAACGTTACTAGGAATAAAGAAGAAAGAAAACCTAATAAGAATAAAATTTAAATTAAAACAGTAATGTACAACAAGTAACAAAAATTATAAGTCCGCTCGGCCCACGAAACAAGCACGCATTTCTTTCGTTTTCCATGAAATGAAAATGCATGTGATGTCTATTATAAAAAAAAAACTTTTCATAAAAAGAAAAGGCCTTCTTCAAATAAATAAAATAATTTTACATATTATAAAGTTAACCATTTTAGAATATAGAAAATGCTAAGATAACAAGTGGTAAAATGAAAAATCTTGTACAACTGACTTCAATATAACTAAAATGAGAACATCATCAATGTAGTCGAAGCCAATTACAACGCATTATTAAGGATGACTCAAAAACTTCTGGTCAGATCTTGATCAAGTATATATGGGACCACATGAGAAGCGCCAGCTTTCAAATAAAAAAGAATCATTAAAATCGGTTCACCTACAAAAAGTTCTGAGATAACACACATAAAAAAATAGGGTCGAATTGAGAACCTCCAATTTTTTTTTAAGTTGGTTGAAAAGGTACGAAATATAAAGTTAGTTATGGTTTAAGTACATAATTGGTGCGTGCGTGCGTACTTGTGTGTGTGTGTGTTAGTTTTTCAGATATTGCTTGAAAAAAACTGACTGTGTATTTCCTTCAAACTCGGTTACTTCAATAAGTGCACATGTGAAAAAACTGGTAAACACAAATACATCTTCCCAAGATGCAGTCACATTATTGCCACGCTTGTACATCACGAGAATGTATAGAACCAGTTTTCCGAATATGACTCATTTTAATAATATACAATATATAATTACATATCTGCACATATATACGTTAGAATATATAATACAAAGATAATTGCGAGTTCGAGTCTGGACCATGTATTGGTTGGCCAAAAACTATTCAATAAAATATTTATGAAAAACCCAATTTGAGGCTATTTCACAATATAAAGAGCAAAATCAGTGATGTTTTCTGAAGTCATAAAACTGGAAACATCACGGATGAAAAATATGCCAAACACGTTGTAATAAGACATGACAAACACGATGCACAAACAGGTGCATGTCATGTGTTCACACAAGATGTTCAGTCAGTTCAGCCCAAATCTCCAAGCTAGTTCAATCTATTATAAAATCAAGTTGTGCATTACCAATTTTACTTACTACCCAAAAGTACCTAGAAAAAGATCACCCTCATGTGGAGTACGATTCAATACACAGCGCCATCAAGTATAAGCTAAAGGGTAAAGAAATTTACCTTCTGAAACAATATTTATAAATCACAAAGATGACTAGGAGAGATCCAATGCCATATGAAGTTCTTGTTTTGGATTACACCTTCTAAACAGAATCTTAATGATGATATTGATATACAAATCAATACACACAGAAAAAAACACACGAGATCCAATTATTACAGATTTACTTATGTTACAATAGAGACCTGATGGCACTCTAAAGCACAAAATTGATTTTGATCATGACCTTGCAGTCTTAACCACATCATCTTACATAAATCAAACCAATAAACCAACTGGCGAAATTGTATTAAAACTAGAATACCTATCACGAAAAACATAAATATCACCATCCATATTATATTGTGGGTGTTGTAAGAGACAACAGAGCAAAACAAACTATGAGATGGGAACTAGCATCTTCCTAATAACACTTCAAAAAAATAAAAACTACGATTACCAAGACCCCTAGAAGCATGGCAACTATGGCAAAAACTCGCCTATGGAGAAGGCTTATGATCACCAGTGAATTTACATAATAGGCAGAGTAACAGTAGCAGCAATAAAGCATCTATTACTAATCAGAGCTTAAAAATCACAATAAAATATACAGTTTTTAACTCTTCCGTAAGTCAAAATGACTTGAAGGAAATTATTTACTAAACAACAATATATGTAGAGTTATTGATTAATAAACTGGATATTTTTGAAAACATTTTATCTGTTATCTTGTGATAATGACCTATTTAAACTTGACTTTGGATTCCTATTAGCAGTCTGTGGTTTGTTTGAACTATTTGTTTTATTTAAGTTAGGTACAGTCATTTCATATGGTGCAACATTTCCTCCAGTGCCGCTAGTGCTTGTAAGTTTCATTATGTCTTCAAGTGTTCTTATAAATGTATCACAGGTTGCTGCTAAAAGACTTGATGCATCTTCAATTTTCTGGAATGTAAAATTATTACACATTTGTTAAATAGGTTATAAAATTTAAGAAAAGAGCCTAGTCTTTTTTAAAAGGCTAGCAATGCACCTGCAATTCTCTTGGTGTAGCAGTTCTTCATAGGTGGCGGTAGTCACTTACCATCAGGTGAGGTGCATGCTCGTTTGCCCCTCTTATATAAAAAAATAATTGAATTAAATATATTTACATTTACCTAATTCTTACACTACATAGGAGCTTTTCAAATGTCAAGATTAGAGCATAAAAAATTTACACTGAACTGAGAATCCATGTCATTTATTTCGTAATACTTTATTCAAATTGTATATCGTATTTTACGTGGTAGAGCCATGCTGCAGCTATATTAGTAATATACTTATAGCACGAATGGGTCGGCTCAACCGGGGAAGAACCACACTCTCACAGATAACCAGCGTAAAATAGCAGCTTATCACTGCTGTGTTTCGTATGGTGAGTGTAGAGAACCGAAGACCCTTTTTACTGGCAAAGAGGCATTCCATCTTAGTCCTCATTCAATCTTGCCAGGGAGAAACAGGGCACAGCGGACAAAGTAAACATTTTAATAATTTTATTTGAATTTACCTGTACTTCAGGGTGTTCAGTAGAAGCAGCACTTTTTATAGCATGTACTTGCTGCATCATCAGGTCACAATAGAGGCGTAATTCAGATTTTTTATGACCTATAGAGTTGTCAAAACCAGCAGCTGAAAAAAATATTTTATTATTACGGTTATAAAATAAAAGTATATATCACAAAAGTATTGACATACCAAGTGCATCTATTTTGGAATCTACACATGCTTTAGCACTACCCAGTGCAACGAGCCATTTTTGCCTATCTTGAGGAGAAGGCGCTCTTAAATACATGTGTTGTTGACCAGGTATGACTAAATCCAGACGAGTATTATCAATATTATTGACTGAAAATTATAACAAAATAATGTAATTGACAGATTAGTAGAGACATACATAAGAACTATAAAAGTAGATAAATTACCATTTATTTGACACACTGATACTTTCACTGATCCTTTACATCCTTGAATCACTTCCTCCTGTGATTTATAATAAGATAAAATGCCGTTCTCTAGCACAAACCATCTTGTTTGCCAACCTGGAACAATTGCAATGTTGTTATATTTATATAAATTTATTTTATTAATATAACAAAAACTCTTACCGTTCCAGTAATTTGTCCATTTCCATAAAATTCCTTCCATTTATTATGTAAAGTCGAAAGTTACGTTTATTTATTTACAATTTACAACAGACACAAACTATGTATATAAAAAGTACTCTGTGCTAGGGATGTGAAGAAATAATCGATTTTCATATTAATCGATTATTTTTTATAATAATCGACTTTCAAAAGTAGATTTTTTTAATAATAAAAATCGACTTTTAATAAATCGATTATGTAAATTACGTGTTTTAATCGATTTTTGTAATCAGCGTAATCTGTGCGATAGTTGTAAAAACGAGAAGTTCAATATCATGAATAAGTCGATGAAAAGAACAGCGTCATCTGTGCGACAGATGAAAAAACGTGAAGTAAGTTCACTAACATGAACAAGTCATTAAAAGACGGCGCCACCTGTATGTATCTCTATGTATGTAAAACAGTTTCGCTTTTCGTATGTTTCAAACAGTTTTTTTCTCCGCTAGGAGTAAAAGTATTCTGTGGTTTTCTTTCTTTCCTTAGAAAGTGTAAACAATTGTAAAACAATAAAAATGTCTTGTAAACTGCCTAAAAGTGGCTGACGGATGTATTTTATAATGAAAAAATAATAGCGGCCAACACGTCAATAGGCAAAAATACTGAATTGGACCTATATATTGCGGCATCTTCTTAAATCTTAAGGCAGATGCCCTCAATACATGGAACTCTGAAGAAACTTTCCCTAAATTAACCGAATTGGTTCTAAAACACGTCTTTGTGATGGCCAGTTCCGTGCCAGCCGAAAGATTATTTTCGAAAGCGGGAAATATTGTCAGGTAAAAACGTAACTGTATTTTTTGCAAAACAGACGAAGAAGAATGTTGGTAAAATTATTGTTTTGAAACTCTTTAAATGAAAATTTATGGAAATATTTTTTTTTTTACTTTTTTTGTTTACACAAGTTTAAAAAAAGATTTATTTTGTATATGATTTGTTTTGAGACCAAAAGGTTTGATTATTTAAATTTATAGTTTTATTTTATTTTCATTTTAGTCCAATGTCAGTGATACTGAACATTTATGGCAATAATGATATTTAGATTTTTTGTTTGTTCAAACTTACTTAAAAAAAACTATCGTTTACTAAACTTAAACGTTTCTTTTTATTGTGGTTCTAATAAATTGTTAAATGACATGTATATAGTAGCAGTAATTATTTTTAGTTTTTTATTGTTAAAAGTTATAGGTTAAAAAAATTGTTTTGTGGTTTAGTTTTGAAACCAGAAGATTGTCGTCGTGATTATTTTTTATACTTATCATTTTATTTGATTTATATTCTGATAAATTGTTAATGTAATACTAATATCGTAGTTTTATTAATATATTATAGGAAAGCAGGCAATTTTTCGAATAAAATAATTTTTTCCGCAAAAATCGATTATTTCTTCTAATAAAAATCGATATTTTCTAAATTAATAAATATTACAAAGCAAATAATCGATTTTTTATTAATCGATTTTTTTCACACAATGTCACATCCGTACTCTGTGCCAACCACAGAACACAATTACTCTTTATGTGCCAACTATATAGATGACAATAGACAACAGCAAACCAAACCAAACATTAGGCTTGGGTAAAAAATATCGATATATCGATATTTTTTAATAAATATATCGATATATATCGTAGATATTCTAAATCGCGATATATCTACATATCGATATTTATTTTGGAGTATCGAATTCGTATCAATTTCGATATATTTTAAATTCATTTAAATGATGACGATATATCGATATTTATCGCGTGATAAATATCGATATATGTAATATAGCTGTTGTATGATAACTGTTTAAAAATATAGATTTGATATATATCAATATATTTTTTCCCTTTACCCAACCCTACCAAACAGCATGCAATTTATTTTATTTTTTTATAGGAGAGGGGGCAAACGAGCATGCGGCTCACCTGATGGTAAGTGACTACCGCCGCCCATGAAACCTTGCAACACCAGGGGAATCGCAGATGCGTTGCCGGCCCTATAAAAAGGAGTAAGCTCTTTTCTTGAAGGTCTCTAAGTCGTATCGGTCCGGAACAATCGCTGGTGGTAATCGATTCCACAAGTAAGTTGTGCGAGCAAGAAAACTTCTTCTGAATCGCACAGTGGTGGACCGCCAATCATCCAGATGGTATGGATGGTATCGCGAGTTTTGTCGCGATGTGCGATGGTGAAATTGGGCGGCTGGAATTAGTCCGAACAATTCCTCCGAGCACTCCCCGTGATAGAAGCGATAAAATATGCAAAGAGATGCAACATCTCTACGCAGTGCCAATGAGTCAAGCCGATCGGAAAGAACTCGGTCGTCGACGATTCGAACCGCTCTGCGCTGGATGCGGTCAAGTGGAAGGAGCTGGCACTGGGGAGCCACTGCCCAGAGATGGGAACAGTATTCCATGTGACGCCGAACCTGCGCCTTGTAAAGTTGCAAGCGGTGTGCCGGCATGAAATACTATCCCGCTCTGCTGAGCACGCCAAGCTTTTTAGAGGCCAATTTGGCCTTCTCTTCCAAGTGACCACGAAACTGCAAGTCACTCGATATGTCGACACCAAGGATCCCGAGTGCCTTGAAACTGAGGAGATACGACAAAGGGGTTCTTTTTAGCGGTAAACGCGCAAACTTGTGTCTTCTGGGGATTGAACTGGACTAGATTTAGTCGACCCCAGTCTGAGACTTTGTTCAACAAAGTCTCGACTTGTGCTGTCGTCCGCATAGCAATAAATGTTACTGGTTTGCAACATATCATTGATAAGCAGAAGAAATAGCGTTGGTGATAGCACGCAGCCTTGTGGAACACCAGCGTTAATGGACTTGTAATCGGAGCATGCACCGTCTACTACGACCTTGATGCTCCGATCTGCAAGAAAACTGGTGATCCAATTGCACAATTTCTCGGGAAGCCCATAGGAAGGGAGCTTCGAAAGAAGCGCTTTGTGCCAAACTCTGATCGAAGGCCTTCGCTATGTCCAAACTAACGGCCAATCACTTGGACTCCACTGCCTCTGCCCATCTATGAGTTAGGTAACCTAAAAGATCACCAGCTGAGCGACCTCGACGGAAACCGTACTGGCGGTCACTAATCAGCTGGTGATTCTCAAGGTACCGCATGAGCTGGCTGTTAATAATGGTTTCCATTACTTTGGAGAACAAGGAGGTGATAGCAATAGGCCTGTAGTTGGACGGATCTGAGCGGTCGCCTTTTTTAGGGATCGGGTGCACCAAAGTTGTCTTCCATGAGTTCGGGACTACGCCAATGAAGTAGGAGTACCGGAAAAGACGCGTTAAAACCGGTGCCAACTCCGGAGCACACGTCTTCAGCACAATAGGTGGGACTCCATCAGGCCCACTCGACTTGTTGACGTCCAGGGAGAAGAGTGCTTTACGCATCGAGCGCTGTGTAAACAGCACTTCCTGCATGGAGCGCTCACACCGCGGGATGGTCGGTGGTGTGTTCCCCCGTCATCTAGAGTCGAGTTGGAAGCAAAAAGAGAGCCTAGCAGATCGGCTTTCTCTTTTGCTTCATGGGCCAGTGAGTCGTCCGCCCTGTGCAGAGATGGCAGATATGGCTGACAGAAGTTCCCTTGGACAGCCTTTGCGAGAGACCAGAATGCACGTGTTCCCGAAGGGAGGCGAACTAGTTTCTCGCCAATTCTGCCGATGTGCTCTGACTTTGCCTTGGCAATGACACTTTTGAAGGACCTGGAGGCGGAATTATACTTCTTTTTAAGAGCGCTGGTATTTACATCCCGGGACGTTGATGCGTCGGCCCAGGTTCGGTAGCACTCCTGCTTATAGCGTGATGCAATTTTGCAGGAGTGACCAAACCATGGCTGATTTCTGCCTCCGATAGGCACCACAGATGATGGAATAAGTATTTCCATTCCCTGAAGTACCACATCAGCGACAGAATCAGCAACAACGTTGGGATCATCCGGCGCGAAGCAAACCCGCTCAAAGGGTAGGATGCAAAAAAAGACCGCATCCCGTCCCAATCGGCTGATCTATAGTGCTAAACACGGCGGCAAGCTGCAGATCGCAATTGCGATTGGAGCGTGAGTGGCACCGTAATCCGGATCAGACAATGGTCCGAAGAGCCCAGAGGGGCATCCACGGAGACCTGATATCCGTCCGAATGAGAGGTCAGCAGAAGGTCTAACATGGAAGGTACATGATCCTCCACCTCGGTGATCCGCGTAGGCGAAGTAACCAGTTGTGTCGGACCATAATATGCCAAGGCAAAGTCATAAACAGATCTCCCCGCATGATCGGTTAAGCGTGAACCGAGCCATACGGCGTGGTGGGCGTTAAAATCGCCAAGAATCACGATCTCTGCGGATGGGACCTGTTGTAGCACGGAGTCTGCAGCCATTTGGACGTGGTCGATGAGTCGGTCTGTGTCGGCATTACCGCTATGGGACCTATGGAGGCACTCGTAGACGCGGGGATGGTCGTCGCTGTCTATGCGTAGCCATAGGATGGACAAGTCCTTACCTTCAATATTGCCGAGGCGTCGAAAACAGATGTCCTCTCTGACGTACATGCAAACTCCAGCCCGCGGCACAAACGAGTGTTCTAACTTGTACCCCGGGTAGGAGAGATACAAAGTATCAGCCGGAGGGGACACCTGTGTCTCGGTTAGAAAGAGCAAGGCCGGCTTAGCTATCTCCAGATGGTAGTGGACGGCGTTAAGGTTTGAATGAAGTCCCCTGATATTGCAGAAATCCACGGAAAGCGTGGCAGGGGTTGCTTTTGTCTTCATGCTTCGCTTGCCCCGAGCAGGTTTCGTCTTGAGCAGAATTTCGCCCCCTCCCAGAATACGCGGGCAGCCTGAGCACCCACGCCCAGGAGTGGAGTAGTTTGGTCGTGGATGCTCAGCGAAGGATTCTCCAGGGGTGCTGGTACCCTCCTGGGGTAGTCTTCTGTTCAATTCCGCTACCATGTTGATGGGGGGAGGGGGGAGATTGGGCCTCCGGCCACCTGCACTCAATTTCAATTTGCAAGTTCCCTATAATAAAAAAGTAGTCTGTGTCTGTGACTAGTGTTACCATTAC